TTTTTTCTTCTTCTTCGATCAAATGTTTTTTTAATTTTATTATATTCGATTCAAGCTATAAGCAATATTTTACATCTTCGCGATTTTTGTTAACTGTTTTATTATTGTACTTTTAAACCTAAACCGCGTTTTAATTCACGCCGGTAAGTTTGATTTCCTATTACATTTTTCTTTTATTTCATGATTTTTTTCAAAATAAGGTTTTTTGCGATATCGACACATATAAAGAATAATTTTTATCTTAGGATAATTATTCTTTATTCAGAAATATCGCATTATTTATGGCAATTAGATGTGTCTTGACAACGACTATTTGCTTATACCATTCTTGTTTCTCTACCATTTAGTTTTTTATTTTTATTTTATTCATGTTTTTCATGTTAATTTGTGTTTATATATATATATATATATATATTATGCACACAATATATTTAAAAAAAAATTTCTTTGCCTGGATAGTGCTAGAGAGTCATTTGAATTATTAAAATAGCACGTGAATATCAGATTAAAAGTTATTCAGCTCATATTTTTCTGTACCTTGCATGTATTGTTTAATAACCAATGTCACGGAGGAGGTGAGCATAAATTAAATTGGATTAAGATTCTTCTATATTTTAAGCAGTTAAAAGTATACTTACTTTCTTAAGAAATAATTGAATATGAATTCCAAAAACTTTGATTTTTCTAGATTTAGAACTTTACACCTGTTTGATATTACCTATAACAGTCTTGTTAATGAGCTTATTTAACAATCTTCTGTAAAATGAAAATTTTTAACTTTTTCATGAATAATTAACTTAATTATTTTGACAGATTTCCTCTACCTGCTATGCTCTCCATAACACACAGGGCAACAGGAATCGCTCTAACTGCTGGTAAATTTTATAAATGTTTTTTTCACTCTGTATTAAAAAATGATTGTATTTTTCAAAGTTTTCAAGATCACATGATCCTTCTTTATTACAAGAATGTTGATAAAATAAAAATGCTATTAAAAAAGGTAAATAATAATAGTAATAATAATTAAGTAAAACCTTGATGGACAACAAAAAGTAGCCTTAAAATAAAAGATAATGTCCTTAAAAAGTTTGAATAATTAAATTTAATAAATTCTCACATTTTCCCTAAAATTCATAAAAATATGTGCAAGCCTGATATGTGCAGCATTCCTGAAAATCTCCTAAAGTTTTGCTGGTGTTCCTATACGGAAAAACACTCATAAAATCACCAGACTTCAGAAAACCCAGCTTCCTTGTTTTCTAAACGAAATATGCACAAGACATTGCTTCTCTACTAGGAGGGAGGAAAAATTTAATTCTCTTAGGAGGCAAGAAAATGAGCTGAGCGAAGTACTTCATGGGGAGATAGGCACTCAGCCGCATGATTAGCTTTTTTCATCATATTGTTATTTTCCTTCTAAGGTGTCACATGCCTCTCCCCACCCATCTCATCTTCTCCATCGGGAAGTTCTCGAACGAGAACTCTTTGGCTAGTTGTATTAGAATGTTTCTTTCTAAAGCCTTTTTTGTTAATTTTAAACCTTCCTTACGGTTTGTTGGTTCTGATTGAGCTTGAACAGCTTCTTTACAGTAGGAGTGCGCAACCTGCGGTTTGATGACTAATGATGTGTTTCCCGCGTAAAACGCAATGGGAAAAAAATTTCAAAAATTTTGAATTTTATGTTTCAGTTTTCACTTTGTAATGCACTCATCTCGCAGATTCTAATGTAAATATATGTTATTTCTGGATCGCTTTTTCAAAAATTTTTTGCTGCATAATTCCGCATGGTTTTAAAAAAGACAATGTTTTTAATGCAATATTTCGATACGCAAATATCAAATTCCACAAATTTCTTTTACTGATTTTATTTTTACCAATTTTATCGTAAATCCAAGTGACGCTTCAATTGTTTTTTTTGTTTTTCTTTTTCCATTTATAACTTCCAATTTTTATGTGACTTGTAAAATCCCAATATATTTATTCAGATATTACAACTCTTGAGTTATCAATCGTGCAATTATTTAACTTTAATTGATCATTTTTGACCCACTTTAACTAAACCGCTTTCATTGTAAATTTAAATAACTTTTTCATTTTGATTTCTTTTTCTGAAAGCAGTTATCGCCACTTTTTTCTACACTTTTGAAAGTTTCTTATTTTTACTCTATTATTACAACACTTAGTTTCAAATTCATTTTTTGATGAGTTATGTAAATTCATTTTCATTGTAAATTATTGTTCAATATTTTGTAAATTATTTTTGTATAGAACTCAGTGGCGCGGCAGCCCATAGAGGGCCAAGGCCTACTGTGCCCATCTCAGTTTTCTTGACCTTGGGCTCCGGGGTGCAGGAGCAGATGTTCCGGTCAGGTGGTCGGCCGAACGCGAAACCCCCAGTGTTTAGTCCCCAAGCATGCTTGGTACTCATTTATTGACCCACTGAAGGGATGAAAGGCTGAGTCAACTTTGCCCGAGGGTCGAACCAGGGACCTGTGGCACGACAGCGCATTTTTGTATAGAATATTTTGGAATTTCATTGTAAATTATTGTTCAATAATATTTTTGGCAATTCTTGTGATGCATTTCCAGGTGGTTTTAAGAGTTCCGAATTTTATTACATAATGCAATTAAATAATTACATATTGATGTGCTTTATTTGCCCATCGTACATGTAAGCTTTTTTTTTTTTTTTTTTTTTTTTTTTTTTTTTTTTTTGCTATGGCGATGCTTTTCCTTGTGATTTTGACGATCCCGTTATTTTAAGTAAGATGTTATTATGCTTATTTAAATCATCACTTTTTGATAAAATTTATTTGTGCGGATTTCTTAGCAAATATAAGTTATTTTTCTGACATTTTTTTTTTTTTTGAACTTCAGATCCAATATCATTTTATTTGAATTAAATGCAAAACTAGATAGTCCTAACTTACCTACGGTTTGCTAATTACAGACATGCAATTCAGGCATTAAACCTTATCTGCAGGATTCAATGCTTCAAACCTTTTTGGAATTAATCTATTTTATGATAACAAAGCTCAATTGACAATTTTTGTATTATCAGATTTTTATGATAATGAATTAATCGGTCATATGCATCTATATTGTTTTTATCAAATGTAATGATAAATCTTATAAGGTGGTGTATTGTAGTTTCAGAAATATTGATTGGTCTCTTTTGTCTCATTGAAAAATTTTTTATTCCAATCAACAATACTGTAATCATATCATAGAATTTTAAAATTGTGAATTGAGAATCATCCACCAAATCACTTTTATTAACCAGCATATATTTACTTTGTATGAGCTTCAAGATTATTGAAAAATAACTTTAAAATTATTTGATTAAGAAATTCTTAATCTCGAGGACAAATTTTAACTAAATATTGGTATGAATACTGTTTGAAACAAGTTACTTTTTTAATGCAGCAGTGCTATAAAAATTTTCTGTCTAATGATCACAAAGTATTATGAGTTGGTCAGTGCTCCACTAAAATTGCTAAAACATTCTGTTCTAAACTAAGTAATTTTAAATTAAAACTGCTATTCCATTCTTTTTTTGTTATAAAATTTGCCGTTATCATACATAAGTAGAACAAATCATAATGTTTCTTTATTTTATCCTTCTCTAAAAGTAGTCTGGCTTACATATACTGTTCCAAAAATGTCCTAATTTTTTTTTTTATTTCCCAAATTTTACTTTTTATTTATTTATTTGTTTTTTGAGGGAGGGCCCACTACCAGGCTTCTATTCTTTCAATTTTAAGAATGTCAAAAAGCATTTAATAATACAATGCAATTGTGATGTTCTTGCAGATTGTAACTATAAATTATTAAATTCTGATTTGTGTTTAGCAGTTATTTGTTTAGATTTCCTTTTATTCATACATTTCATATTTATATTTATTTTAATTATTACTTAATTTTTGTCATGATTTGCAGGTATGTACAGTATATCCATTGGAATGCTTCTACTTCCGGCTAACTTCCCCCACTACTTCGAAGCTCTTCAGTCCATGCATATAGGAACTCCAATTATATTCACCATGAAATTTGCCCTGGCATGGTCCCTCTTTTACCACTCATTTAATGGAGTCAGACACTTGGTATGCTTTTTATTATCAATTGATTTAGATTAATTTTTCCCTTGTATTTTTAACAGATTTAAATTCAAGCACAGTACACTCTGAATATAAAAATCATGTTTGTTCCAAGAACATTTGATTTAAGAAAGCGGCTGATTTTATAAATCAGAATGTCTGCACCATCTAGGGACAAAAATGCAAAGCTAAACTTTACAAATAGAGTAAAAACTAAACTGATTATTACATTTATATTTTATTTTTTATTAAAGCTACATTTGACATTTTATTTAAGCATGATCTGCATGTTTTTTAATTTTTATTTTATTTTCAGGGTTTAAAAATATTGACATATATTTACTTGAGTAGCAAAATTTAAAATAAGGTTCAATGTAGTCTGGAAATTTTGTTGAATTTAATTATTCTTTTTTTTTTTTTTTTTTTTTTTTTTTTTTTTTTTTTTTTTTTTTTTNTTTTTTTTTTGCACTTTAAAATATCTAGAGCTTTTCTGTATCTATTGAGGATAAATTTGCCCCATTGATTGAGCGATAACCATTGGCATTAAATGGTATTAAGCATTCTATAGCTTTTCTTACTTCATAAACAGTTTTCATTATGTTTCCTTTCTTCTTCCTGCTCTTTTTTACTTCTCGTCCATAAATTTCACTAAAAAGTGTTATCTACACTTTTACTTGTTCGTAGGGGAAACAATTCAATTTGTTATTAACATACTTTCAAATTTCCTGGAATTAAAAAGCAAAAGCAGAGTTTCTATTATTTTGAACTTATGCCGTACAAAATTTGATTTTTCTAAACGACGATCATGATTTTATAAGAGGATGGTTTTAGCATTTTTTTATATTGTAATAATTTGTTCTTGCACATTTAATTTAATAAAGCAGCTGATTTTATAGTGGTGGTCACTGTAGTACAAAATTGAAAAATTTTCAATTTACTTTTATTTTGAAAACGGCAAACAAATTTTACAATTTTAGCATCAAAGAAACCCGTTTTTCGACTTACAATTTCTTTTTTTTTTTTTTTTTTTTTTTTTTTTTAAAGTTTAATATAACTTTGAAAAAAGAACTTTTTTTTTTATATAAATATTTTATGCACTATTTATTTTGTTAGTTATTACTATTCTAAGGAATTTTATATGTCTAAATCTTTCACACCAAAATTCTAGATTTAAGTATATTAATTGTTTGGAAGGAAAAAATTTAACTTAGAGAATATGAATTAAATTTTTTGTATTTTTATATTTCAGAAATCTATTTCTATAATTACAGTAAAAAAAAAATTAGATTGACTTCTACAAAATTAATGTATCCAGCAGAGTGTATACAATTATTTAAAAAAAATTTAATTATCTACATAAAAAAGGAAACAGAAGTCCAAAAAAAAGTTTAATTGTCATAACATCTGAATTTTCCACCAATTCTTGATAGATTCTGTAAATGTTCATTACTTAACTTATTGATAGTCATAGATACATGTGTGTATATTTAACAAAATGTAATAAATGGCCTCTTTGCTGTTCTGAACCTATATGTTAAATAAGCTTATCTATTTCTTATTATTATGCATACTTACAGAAAAATAAAATTATTAAAAACATCCAAAGCTTAAATAAAATGCTCTGGTTATTTTCATGTAATAAGCCTAACTAAACCTCTTTTCCAATTATAGCCTAGAAAATTTTTTTATGAGAAAAAAGGCTTTATCTATTGAGCAGAAAAAATCATGTCAAATATATAATATTAAAAATCTAATTTCATTTGATAAATTAATTAATTAATGAAAGTAACAAAATGGAATGGAATCCTTTCAAATAAAGTTATCAATTTGAAATTACTCATAGATTGGCTAGAAAACTTTTGCATTTTTTTTTTGATCTTATCAATGTATAAAGCCCTTTATTTTTAATTGTATGTGTAAAAAGAAAAAGCTCTTTGCTATACAGAAAACTAGTTTTTTTTCTTTCTAAATTAATAGCATTTTCATGGTTCTTTTAGTTCCTATTAACCTTACTAAGTAACCAATGTCTTGTCTATTTCAATTGCAAAACATGCATAAAATTTTAGGAATTTGTTTTATATATTAAAAGTGTCTTCAGTGTGAAAGGTTAATACAAATTATATCATACACTATATTTGCTATTGTGTTCCTTTTGTATTTTCTGGTGTTTAAATAATAAAATGTGAAGACATTACTTAGTGATTTGTGCAAATTTACCCCAAATCTGTCAAAATTTTGACAGATAAATGAAAGATTAACATTTTAATAAACAACTAAAAATAACAAAAGCAGTACCTTTTGCGCAGTTATATCAAAATCTGACAATTTTTTTAATTAATATCACCATTTAGCCTGATTTTTTGTATTCATTTCACATCCAAATAAGTAGAACTGCAATTTGCCAATTATTTACTAACCTGAAAATCTCATCTACTGAAGAAAGTATATTCCCATGCATTATGTAGTTAACTTCATTAATGATTGTATTTTTTTATTATTTTGAAAAGCAGCTGATTTTTTAAATTTTTTTTATATTTATTTTTATGTTAACTAGGCATGGGATTTAGGTTATGGCTTTGACATGAAGACCCTCTACATGACTGGCTATCTCGTCATCGGGAGCTCAATAGCTGCTTCTTTGATTGCCGCCATGTTATAAACTAGGTTTCTTTTTTTATATAAATAATCTTGTTTTATTTGGATGTGTACATTTAGATATATTAAACAGATATGTGTGATATTGATAAAGAGTGTTTTGTCATTAATATTGATGTCATTAATATTTATTATTGTGAATATTATTTTAAAGAAGCATATACTTTTCTTTGCTTTAAGAAAATTATTATTTTAAATATGTATCTGTCATTAAAAACTAGGTTGGGCAAAGTTTGATGTATAAGAATTACAATACGACCTCTAAAAACCAGACTCATGGCAAGGGAATGTTTTCTAAGTCAATATAGATATAAAAAAAATAAGAGAAAAAGAAACGTCATTTCCTAATCGTCTTTCAGCCAATTCCACATGGTTTTTTTTTCTTCTTTCTTTTCAAATCTCAATGTTATTACAACACAGAAATTTGAATTTAAGTCATCCTTCTTGACTGCTTGATTTGCGATAATTCTATAGCAAATCCATCTAGTTTGCTGATAGTTAGGACCTTTTTTGTATTGATTTTTCGGGTATATAAACAATAAATCTAAAATAAAACTACCTAAAATGATTAGTGACTAAAATAATGTTTATTGAAAACTTTTTACCTATCTTTTAGTTTTCTATTTTGAAAAAGGATGCAATATCATAAAAATCATTGATAATTTTTTGTTATCTGTATAATTGATGTTTTCTAGCACATTTGAGTAGTGTCGTTACAGCATTGAAATGTGTTGAATGTTGATGTTTAAAGACACAAGGTACAAATATAAATGAATCAGTAAATGAGTAACATCCAGTTTAATAATGAGGAAACATGTGTCAGGGCTATAGATGTGGGTCAGGTAAATACCCAGTGGATAGGGTATTTATAATGGGGATTGCAGCATTGAATTGTATTGAACATTCCTATTTAAAGGCACAAGGTACAAATATGAATGAATCAATAGATCAGTAGTATCCATTGTAATAATGATGAAACATGTGTTTGGGCTATAAATATGTGTCACATAAATCCATATAGGTAGGGTATTTATAAATGGGTTTTTATCTCTTGGGTAAACTTTAAGTACCCTTGGGTAAACTTTAAACACCTTGGGTAAATACCTAAAATCAGAGTATGTATAATGTTTATTCATTTTTAAAGCATCTAACTATCATTTGTCTTGTTTATAATTATGAGAATAATATATTTAATTTTACAAAATAAACTTAAAACATATCAGTTCTAGAAGAAATATTTCAAAAAACTGTAAATACTCATTAGAAGAACTACAATGTTGTTTTAAAAAAGTAAAACTAAAAAGTTTGTGATTTGTAATGTAATATCAACTTTATATTAAGTAATTTAAGTTCAAGATTGGGCATTTTTCAAGAAAACCATTTTTTCTAGGACAATAATGTGAACTGAATGAAAAGAAATGAGCTCAGAAAACAAGTTTAAAATTTATGAAAATTATTGACAGTAATTTTCAAAACAGACTGTATTCATTTTGTATATTAATTTTAAAAATTTAATATAAGTGATGAAATTAATTTCATATTTGAATAATAAAGAAGTTTGTTCATTTAGACCAAATTAGTTCTTTTATGTGATTTGTTTAAAGTATCTCGATATTTTGTTTTGAACGTTTTTCCAACATTGATTTTATTTTATTAAAAATAATTTTATTTTTCAAAATGAGTAATATTTTTGTTAAATTGCAAAGGTTATTTTTGGCAGAAGTATGGAATTATGTGATTTAATTTTTTATGTTAATGAATTATTTTTCAAATTATGAGTAAAACACTGCTTATCGTTTAGAATTCAAGACAATTAAACAAGAGGTAGTTATTGTTTAAAAATTGTCACATATGACTGAGTTAAATTTATTAAGATAGTACTGAGTTAAATTTGTTATTTCTCTTCTTTTGTTATATTTATTTCACCTACTAAGTATTAATCTGACTAAAGTTTATAGCTAATAAATTATGAAAAAAAAATTGCAATTAACAAACGATTAAATATATATTTAATTAGCAAAAATGCTTCTATGCTAATCAATGCTTCTATTTTATTCCTGAAAGAATTTTGAAATTTCACTTCTCTTACAAATTAGGTAAAGAGTGTCAAAAATAAATGTATGTTTCATATATATATATACAGAATAAAGAAATACAAGAAAACACGAAGAAAGTTAAGAAAAACAATAAGTTTCATTTATTGCGCATAAGCTGCAAGTAACAGAACTCATTAGATAAGTTCAAAATGAAGATAGAAAGAAGAAGTATAAAAACTCAACAAAATGAAGATAGAAAGAAGAAGTATAAAAACTCAAAAATTACAGCCAATTTTAATTGTTAACACATTGGGCATTATTGTTATTAAGAAGGATATTTTCACATCACAACTAATTATGGATCAAAAAAGGATTTACATATTGTTCTTATGCAAGAAAAGTTTTGTATGATGAACTATGTAAAATTACTAAAAAACCCAAATATATTTTTGCATTTCAAAAATATATTTCTAGCAAAAGTTTCTTGGTTTGAATTTTAGTTCTCATACCACGAATATTGAGAATTATGAATAGAAATATGAATTTTAGAAGTATTAAACAACAACTTCTCTCAAAAATAACTATGATTTCAATTATTTACATGGTCAATTGAAGGAATTTTTCTTCTTATTAAATGGTGAATTAACTATCATAAATGTAAGCAAAACTCAATTTTGCCTTAAATTTGAATATCTGTGATTTTGTAAAACCTCAAGTAAAATACTACCATTGCAGTTTCAATAAAATTCATAAATACCACGGTATTTATGAATTTTGGTTATTTACCAAAAGTTATAATAACCTGGATATTTAACATCTTTTTGGAAAGCTTTTTACGTGTGTCAAAAAAGTTGTCAAATAACTGAGGGATTGAGTGATCTGCCGCTATCATTTAAAAAAATTCATTCATAAATTCACTTTTCAAATCATGAAAGTTGAAAAAATTTTTTATACCTTTTCGGTTTTCAAAGACTAGACCCCCATCCTTATTTTACATTTATCTTTTTTTCTCTCTCCATAAAACGACAGCCATACTTTCCACAAAAGTAAAGTACATTTTTAAATAAGATGCACAGGGTGCGTAGCTCTTTTGAAAAGTGCTTACTTTAGTTTTTAAAAAGACCTTATAGGTGCTTTTTTTTCATTGGGTGTAGGTGTTTTTAAAAAGGGCTTCCGTTTCCTTTTTCCGGAATGAGATATTTTTTCTTTACCATGTTGTTTTTCGCTACGAATTATGCTAAAAGACATTGTTCGCATTGTTCTATTCAACGTTTTCACAATTAATTAAACACCAATCTGTTTCAGCGTACCGTCGGCCCGTAGCGTATGAAAACGCCACTCGTTTTACATGTTGGGTAAAATATACTGGTGGACAAAATTAAGAGATGGAAGACATTTTCCCAAATATCTCAAACAATACTGAATATAAATAAATGAAATTTGGTATGGATATAGCTTATTCCATGATAATAAAGTATTGCAAAACAAAAATGAAAGTGCCATTCACCGGCAAGACCTATTGCCAATAAATCCAATGTAGTCTGAACTTCAGGATAAAAGATGACAATAAAAGTGAGGTTTGTACAGTGTGTGTTGCCTCTAATATGGTGTATGGTCACCCCTGACAGAAAGACAGCATGCATAACGAGTATGCATGCTGTTAATAAGGGAGTTAAGGAGGACTTGTGGAAGACCCTCCCATTCTTCCACCAGAGCAATGTTTAACTCCAGAATGGTTCTGGGAGGAGGTTGGCGCATCGCAATAACTCTCCCGAGAGCATCCCAAGCATGTTCAATAGGATTCAGGTCAGGGGATTTGGCTGGCCAATCCATTCGTTGAATATCCTCGCTTTCCAGATGCTCATCAACCATGAGAGCCCTATGTGGTCGCGCATTATCGTCCATAAAAAGGAACTCAGGGCCAACAGCGCCCCTGAAATGACGCACATAGGGCTCTAGGACCTCCTGCCTGTACCTCTGGGCATTCACGGGACCATTGTCAAACACATGGAGCGGTGTGCGGGTATCTTACATGTGCGAAAATGCTTTCCATCTCTTAATTTTGTCCACCAGTGTACTTGCGGCTCCGCATGCGCGTGTATTGAGCTGGCTCCAGTGGGAAGGATTTTTGCTCTGCTGCATTTTGCAAGAGATTCTCCATTACCGGGTTCATTTTTCGCCCTCTGAAATCGAACCGAAAAATCTCCAGCGTTTTTGCTGATTACAGGGATCAACTAAACATCATCCAATTTTTTCCCCCTAATAGTGATAGAAAGTTTTAATTTCTCTTGTTAATTTCATGGTTGGTGACGCGCCATCGTCTTCGTCACTGACAAGCTAATGGCCTTCTCGCTATATTCTATTTATAGATCAGTACCATAATCTTTGAAATTGACTTGGGATTATTCACTAATTATGTATTTTCATGTGGGTCCCCAAAGCAGTCAAAAATCCCAAAGCTTCATCATCTCAAAATGTCTATCTCCCTTTTATTCGTTAAATTTAAGAATCAACTGAGAATTTTAAGAGTAACATTTTTACCTGAGGGACCGTTCACCAATAGCATAACATTTTTGTAAACTTTTATTGTACTATATTACTTTTTTTTGCTTATTACTTTTTAAATTTTCAGTACTCTTAGGTTGTTTTACAAGAACTCAATAATATTTAGAGGCAAGATTTTAAAGTATGAAGTGAGAGGCTTATAATATTTTAAATGTAGCAAAAAATCTTATTGTTATTTATGTAAAAAAATTCAGATTTGTCATCCCAAAAAACTTTAATTCATCTCTTAATTATTTTATTTACGAACAATTGAAATCAAATTATTGAATCAAACTATCTCTGATTTCTTAAATATTATGAATGTAAGGACCCTGTCATAATTTAATTTTGACAAAATGTTTAGCTTCAATACCCATTGTATATTTACATTTCAAAATTATTAAATTTTTTTTAATCATTTAATTAAAAAAATACTGAACAAAGGAGTACATAATAACAAATAAAAATAAACATTTTTAGGGGTCATTCACTTATTTACATTTGTAATATGAA